AATGTAGTACCTACTAAGCAGTATGCGATTTCGGACGCACCCCGGGTGTATTCAAAGCGCCGCCATTACTCTCTAGACTGCGTGGAATGGTGCGCTGTGATTGGTTGAGCGGATATATCGCATTCTGCAGAAAAGGGAGACTGGCGTTTGTCGCGGTTTGGAAAAAAAGGGAGAAAACATGACAGAATAACTCGGCGGATATCGCATTTTGCGTAAAATGGAAAATTAACTTTTCAATACCGACCAGATACAATACTGAGTTTGGCGGAAACTCAATAAAAAAAAAAAAAGGCGTTTATCGCGTTTTGGAACCAAACTCTTCATATATATATATATATATATAAGCAAATAAATTAGTCAAACATTACTTTGGAAATACTAGTAATAGGCCTAGAAATCGACGAGTGGTTCGTTGCCGTCCTCCATAGCACCCGCCCTCAATATGCGCGGTGCATTCTGGGTCCACCTCAAGATGGCGGCGCCCTTGCGCAAGTGTTGAGAAACAGTGGCTGAAAGTCTGATTAAAATTAGCCACAGTTCTACAGTGTTGATCCATCATCAAAAACAACAGAAAGTGCACGGAGAGAGACCGTCGAATTAAAGTATCGAGCGCCTGCCGTGGCTCACGCAGAGTGTGTGTTTAAGGATGATCATGGGCCACTGCGCCTGACCCAGAACCAAACGGAGAGCCATCGCAGATCCCCCTGCAAACACCTCTTGATCCAGCGCCTTCAGATCCTCTACAGGCTGTGGACGTTGCCATTTAAGCTGCTGACGGGAGTGATCTGTGTGATCGTCCGCGGACGCAGCGGATCTCCAGCTCAACCTTTGGAGAACTCTGCTGATCAGAGGTGCGAGTATAATCACAAAACCGCCCAGTTTCTCTTTAACAATTCACCACAGTGCCAAAATACCATATTTGCTTCAGTAAAACTGTTGGCATTAGCCACCACTGTCATCATTAAAGAGAAGTGACATCGGTTCTTAACGCTTCACTGTATAGAAGACGTCCTATGTTTTTTAAATGATGGTCTTACAATGTAACAGTAACATTAGTAATTATGGTTTTTAGGCTGAAGTTGTCGTTACCATGGTATTTTCATTTGAATATGCATGACCAGTTCTGTTGTAATTGGATTGATTGTAACTTGACTCTCAGTGTCGTAGATTGATAGCCTATGCTGGCAACTTTTAGTTCAATTTTTAAATGTGTCAGTTTGTGGTTTTAAAAAGTTTTCATTAAGGTTATTGAATTTAGTGATGTTTTTCTTGTCTCTACAGTACATGCAGTTTCAACATAAGTGGTTGGAGTCTTAGTGCAGAATTGTTTCATATCACTATGAGAGCTGCAGTTAAAATCTGTGCCTAAGCATTTACCAGATACTGCACCACCAGTGGCACCAAATGCTAGTAGAAATGATTGCAAACTGGTTTCTCTGAAAAGTCCCCCTTGTTCCTTTGAATTTTCTACAGACAGGTAGTTTTGTTCTAAATGTACACCATTGATTGTTTTTCCTGAGTGCTCATCAGTAAAAAAATATTTTAAATGATTTAAAACCAGCTACTAGTCTAAATGTTATTAGTTTGAAATGGTATTTAGGACTTATGGAAAGCTTGATGAATTTCACTGGCAAAATTTTATGATATAACCAAGACTGTTCAAGCCAGCCCCTAGCAAAAGTTAGGTGTTGTGTAGACCGATCAATGTCTGATTTGAAGCTGTGCATGTTAGAAATTTTGCCCGACTTGAGACAGCGGCAACAGCACATCACTGTGATGCATGACATACAAGTACTGCAAAAACCAAAGTGTAAGAAAGTTGCGCACATCCCACAAACCCACACAGGGCTCAGGTGCAGGACAAAAAAAAAGTCAAACTATAGCAAAAATACAAACGTATTGTCTGCACACTGATGTAACTGCTCCATAAAAATAATTTATTGGGGCAACGTTTCGACCATCAGGTCTTCGTCAGGCACAAATTACGTGAACTGGTACAACTCTTTATAAGTAACAGGTGATCATTCTAATTAGACACATTCAATCACTGTGCAGGTTAGAGCCCCACCGATATGGGTTTTTCGTGGGCCGATAGCGATATTAGGGAGTAAAAAAAGGTATCCTTTGTGTATACACAATCCCATTCGAGGGTCCAAACATTTGTCTGGTACTATATATAGAATACAGTATATACATAAACAGAATAACAGCGGACGTGATGGACTATAATGTAACAAGAGCTCGTTCAAATACTGAGGTGCTAAACCATTGAGGGCTTTATAAGTTTAGAGTATAAATCCAAAAAGATCCAGAAGTTTGCAAGGGACAATGATGACTATCAGCATGGAAGGATTTATTTTTGGAGGGATGGAAAACCAGATTCACATACTCATCGTAGTCGGGCCAACTTTGAGGTCCCTCGTAGACGTCGACAGCCTGGGGAGAATAGGCTATGGGTTTCTTCAACATCGGGTGACTCAGATTCTGATGGTGCTGGTCGATGGCGGAAAAGCTCGGTTTTTTTAAACCGCACTCGGGCAGAAGTGCCAGGTACGGATTGGAAGGCAAGAGGCTCAAGAAAAGATGTAGAAGGGGTAAACGAAAGAGGTTCTTCGCTTCCTCCACGAATGATGAGAAGCAATCAGAGGAAACGGTTATGAATTTCTCAGATAAGTTACTTTCTAGTTCTTGTATTGCTGCTCTTAGCAAAGGACTTTCTTTTATTCCTACTACCGAGGCTAATGACTTTGACACTATGATTGACTTTCAAAAGTTTTTTAGATCTCTGAGACTGAAGGAATTCTTTGGTACAATTGAAATATCAGCTCTATCTGATGATGCTCCTTCTGTTACTGTACAGCGCAGTGTCACTTCTGATTCGTCCAGTATTCGTCTTCCTTTTAAAAGGAAGTCGACCTTTATCCCACCTTGTAACAGGAATGCATCTTTGGACACTTACTCTGTAGGCTTGTTGAAGCTGATGTTAAGACTTTGCTAAAAAATAAGAGACAATATAAAGCATGTAATAATTTATCAAAAGCGGAGAGGGATGCTTTATTTGATCTTAAAATAGATACTGATGTGGTTGTGTGCCCTGCTGATAAGGGAGGGGCTATAGTGCTTCAACGAGCTACAGATTATGAGAAAGAAATTAGGAGACAATTGGATGATTGTGTCTTTTATGAACGTTTACCTGCTGACCCTACTAGTAAATTGAAAACTTATGTTCATTCCAAATCACAGCATCATTTTAAAAATGGAGAATTCAGCAAAAATGAGTATGAATTTCTTAAAGTTGATTTTCCGGTCACACCTTTGATATATACATTACCTAAGGTTCACAAGGGTTTGGATATACCTTTGAAGGGTCGTCCTGTTGTAAGTGGTATTGGTAGTCTTACTGAGAATATTTCTTCTTTTGTGTTTTTTTTCATTAAACCGTTTGTGCCTATGTTGGCATCTTATGTAGGAGATTCTATGGATTTTATTGAATCATTGTATGCTGTTGATTTTTCTGTCGATCCTGTTCTTCTCGCTACACTTGATGTTCAGAGTCTATATACCAACATCCCTCATGAGGATGGCTTACGGGCGGTGGAACAGTTTCTAAAACAAAGACAGAGTGGAGTAAAACCTAGTACAGCATGTTTGCTGGATCTTATAAACATTGTTTTGACTAATAATTACTTATTAGTAAATTTGATGATACATCTCAAACACAGTGCCTACGTGCTACGAGCAATAAAACACAACTAGGGCAATAGCCCTATTTGTTCGGTTAGGTATTCAGCATTAGGTGCAGAATTTTGTAAGGTTCTTTACAGGCATTGGCATATTATTTCTAGTGATTCTAAATTGTCTCATGTTTTCAAGGATGGCCCCCATTTGTTTTTTAAACTTCAAAGTAACCTGCGTGACATGCTTGTAAGATCGGAGTTCCCGTCTAGTGTAGTGAAACCTGTCACTCTTAAAGGGTTAGTTCGGAATTATAGATGCGGCAATTGTGCCCAGTGTACTTTTACATATAAATGTACATTTTTCAGCCATCCACACACTGGTCGTAACATACTGATACGCGGTACAATTACTTGTTCATCTACACATGTGATTTATCTTATTCGTTGTCCGTGTGGTCTCGCTTACGTTGGTAAAACTTCTAGATCATTACGCACCCGCATTACTGAACATCGGAGTAATATTAGGACGGGAGTTGAACGCAGTCCTATAGCATCTCATTTTAACAAAGTGGGACACAATGTTAGTGCCTTACAGTATATTGGTATAGAGAAGGTACAATAAGCCTTTTCTATAGGATTGTGTATATTTTTTCATCGGTCTTCAGTATTGTTTGAATATTTTGAGTGATTATTGATCTGTACTGATTTGTTCGTTTATTCGAGTTTAAGATTTGTATTTGACCTGTATTGATTTGTGTATTTATTCGAGTGTAATGCGGGTTCTCTCTCGCTCTCTCTCTCTCTCCTTGTGGGAGTGTACCTGCACAGTGATTGAATGTGTCTAATTAGAATGGTCACCTGTTACTTATAAAGAGTTGTACCAGTTCACGTAATTTGTGCCTGACGAAGACCTGATGGTCGAATCGTTGCAGCAATAAATTATTTTTATGGAGCAGTTACATCAGTTACATCAGTGTGCGGACAATACGTTTGTATTTTTGTTATAGTTTGACTTTAATAGTCACCCAGATGAAAGTACCAGTAAAATGACAGTTGGTCTGTGTTGCATGTTGCAATCGCTTCTTCTGTAAATAATAATAAATTTATTTCAGTATGTGATAATTAAACAGAAAACGACTCAGAAAATGTAAATGTATATTTGTTTAGAGTAATGTATATAGTTTATGAGAGTGACTGATAATTTGTGTCAAGTGTAACCTTTACAATTTGAATGATGCAATTGTAACCGCTGTGTGATGATTTGAAGGACATTGCGGAAAATTGATGATATAATTTATATTATACTGTTACTATGATGTTAATGTTAATAAAGAGATTCTACCAAGCTGCGCCTGTGGAAAGACACTGAAGTTTGCATGTGCCTTTGTTTCTCCTGATAATTCAGGTACTTTTAATCTGCCTACGTGTTCCGCGGCCAGGACCCGTAACAGATTCATGGAGGTTCCACCGAGATTAACATCCAGAGTGTGAGGCTAGTGCTGGGATCCAGACTTCACGGCGACGAGACGACGACAAGGAGGGTTGCGTGCGACTTGTGACAGCTGCTGACGTACAGAGAGCCAAAAGGGAGCTGAGGAAGGCGACGCTAAAGTATCGTGAGAGGGTCTGAAGCTGGTCAAGATGGCGAACGAGAGGAATAGACTCATCTGGAACATAAAGAAGAGCCTACACATGTTGACTGTGCACGAACTGGGGCATATCGCTGACAGCATCACTCCAGTTGCAGGTTTGATTCCAACCACTATCTCCAAGGATGATGAGGAAAGCTGTTTGAATTTCATAATTTCTTATATGCAGAGTGACAGTTTACTTAAACTGGAAGATGAAGGATTCACACAGTTACTAAAATTAAGAGACATGATTAATGAATTGATTGAGAGCCGTGTAAACAATACTGTGAGTGATCCATCTGTCTCTATTGAGAATGAAATTGATGCACATACACACACACGGGCATTCCCTGTACACACACATATTCTACTGCCACACTCACACACACACAGTTAAATGAGTATCAGAAACTGATTGCTAGTTATGAGGAGTTAGGGAAAAAGCTGTCCGAGTACAAGATCACACAGGCAGATGATAAAACGAAACCAACTTTAAGACAGTTTTCTTACCCTGATTACTTACCACGACAACAGAGAGAAAGCATAATGTGTCCAAGAGACTTTCCATACCTACCGCATAAAGAGTTCAAGATACATGGTGGTCAGATAGGCGATAGTGCTTCAGACATCGGCTACAATAACCTATGTAAACAAATTTACTTACTCAGAGAGTGAAATCATTCAGGTTGTCCTGCGGATAGTGAAACCGGTACAGTTCAAGGAAATGCTCATTAATAAAGACGATCTAACTGTGCCAGAGCTGAAAAGTTTCCTACAGTCGCATTTAAGTGAGAGAGGCAGTAGTGAGCTTTTCCAGGAATTAATGAGTACAAGACAACGGGAACATCCGACAACTCCACAACAGTTTCTATATCGTGTAATCGGACTGAAACAGAAAGTAATTTTCACTTCCAAGCAGAGCAACACTAACATTGAATATGAGCCACGAACAGTTCAGAATGTGTTCCTGCGTACCATTCACCAAGGTTTCCTTCCGAAGTACAGCGACATCAGAAGTGAATTGAAACCTTTGCTCACAGATCACACAGTAACTGATGAAGCACTGCTGAAACAAGTAACAAAGATCTCAAGTGAGGAAAGTGAATGCCAATGAAGATTGGGCCAAGCCATATAGCGAAGACAGACTCAAGCTCATAGTGCACAAATTGACTCAGGGTTCGACGAGAGTGAATCAAAATCCAAAATGCAGAAAAAGAGCAAGACAAAGACCATACAAGAACTAAGCGCTCAAGTAGAAGCTTTAAAAAGTACAATTGACACTTTAAAACAAGCTAAAGAGCCATGTCGCTGCTCTACACAGATGGGAGCTGGTTCACATGTTGAATGTAGACCAACGCCAGTGAGAAGAGGAGGTCAGGTTTACTTATCAGCATCTTTGAAGTGTGAATGTGTATAGCATGGGTGAACTTTCTCATAAAATAAATTTTTCTGAGCAGTTTCACAATGCTGTATAAAGGACATGCCGAATTCCAAACGAATGGCCACTAGATGGTAGAATGTTTTTGATTTTATGGTAATTGTTCCTGTTCTTATTAGCGTGCTAATTATCATATATGGTACATCTTATTAGTTTAACTATAACAAAAAGAACAAACGTATTGTCTGCACACTGATATAACTGCTCCATAAGAAATATTTACTGCAACATTTCGACCATCAGGTCTTTGTCAGGCACAAATGACGTGAACTGAGGTACAACCCTTTATAAGTAACAGGTGGTCATCCTAATTAGACAACTGAAATATCTACTCTATCTGATGATGCTCCTTCTGTTATTGTACAGCGCAGTGTCACTCCTGATTCGACCATCTATGTAAGAGATTCTATGGATTTTATTGAATCATTGTATGCTGTTGATTTTTCTGTCGATCCTGTTCTTCTCGCTACACTTGATGTTCAGAGTCTATATACCAACATCCCTCATGAGGATGGCTTACGGGCGGTGGAACAGTTTCTAAAACAAAGACAGAGTGGAGTAAAACCTAGTACAGCATGTTTGCTGGATCTTATAAACATTGTTTTGACTAATAATTACTTATTAGTAAATTTGATGATACATCTCAAACACAGTGCCTACGTGCTACGAGCAATAAAACACAACTAGGCAATAGCCCTATTTGTTCGGTTAGGTATTCAGCATTAGGTGCAGAATTTCGTAAGGTTCTTTACAGGCATTGGCATATTATTTCTAGTGATTCTAAATTGTCTCATGTTTTCAAGGATGGCCCCCGTTTGGTTTTTAAACGTCAAAGTAACCTGCGTGACATGCTTGTAAGATCGGAGTTCCCGTCTAGTGTAGTGAAACCTGTCACTCTTACTCTTCCTCCTGGTAATTATAGATGCGACAATTGTGCCCAGTGTACTTTTACATATAAATGTAAATTTTTCAGCCATCCACACACTGGTCGTAACATACTGGTACACGGTACAATTACTTGTTCATCTACACATGTGATTTATCTTATTCGTTGTCTGTGTGGTCTCGCTTACGTTGGTAAAACTTCTAGATCATTACGCACCCGTATTACTGAACATCGGAGTAATATTAGGACGGGAGTTGAACGCAGTCCTATAGCATTGGTATAGAGAAGGTACAAAAACCGTCAAGGGGGCGAGATTTTGAGAGGATTTTTTGGATTTATACCCTAAATACGTTGTAACCTTTTGGGTTGAATGAAGATTTTGATATTAAGCCTTTTCTATAGGATTGTGTGTATTTTTTCATCTGTCTTCAGTATTGTTTGGATATTATGAGTGATTAATGATCTGTATTGATTTGCTAGTTTATTAGAGTTTAAGATTTGTATTTGACCTGTATTGATTTGTGTATTTATCCCCCCCCGTGGGAGTGTACCTGCACAGTGATTGAATGTGTCTAATTAGAATGATCACCTGTTACTTATTCACGTAATGAACTGTACCAGTTCACGTAATTTGTGCCTGACGAAGACCTGATGGTCGAAACGTTGCCGCAATAAATTATTTTTATGGAGCAGTTACATCAGTGTGCAGACAATACATTTGTATTTTTGATATACAAGTACTGCACAAGTTTTTTGAGAGCAGCCAGCTTGCTTAGTCAGCACAGCTTCTAGATGGCTGCAGGGCTGTTTCTAGGCATAGGCGAGCTAGGCGGTCGCCTAGGGCGCCACCAGCTGAAGGGGCGCCAATGAGCGCACGTACTGGCACTTTTAGCAGGGTTGTGATAAAGAGTGGCACGGTCACCCTGAAATATGACTGCCGCCCCCACTGGATCCCCCAACATTATTGGGCTAGAGTACTGTCAATCTGACGATGCCTGTATGCCACTAGATCAGAGTGCTGTCAATTGCTGCCTGATTGTTGCATGCAAAGTTTGCATTTGGAGCGCTCAACAACGCCATTAGATTGGTGGGCTCTGTCAGTGCTTTGGCAAGGTAACACTTTTTTTTGCCATGCAATAAAGCTAAGTTCAAAGGCCAATTTAAAATATTGGTACAGTAAATAAAGTGCACAAAATCAGTATTTTGTATAGGGATTTCGCCTAGGGCGTCAAATTGGCTAGAAACAGCCCTGGATGGCTGCATAAGTTTTGATGCCGACACAGCTATTTGACAACTGGCCAGACTCACCGATAACAACTGTTTTATGTTTATTGTGACACCTTCAGTTCTGCTAATGGGTCATTCCGTGTCAACTCAACCAGAGGTCCCCAGCTCAAATTTTTGATTTTGCTAATATTTATTCTGAACAGTTTAACTTTATTTGGGGTTAATCAGAGGTACCTATTTAACGTGAGTTTGAATATGATTGCTTAATTCTGAACACAGCCACATCTAGGGTTGTAACGATATACCGGTATGACGGTCTATCACAGTTTTATCATACCATAAACATTTGCAAAGTGGCTGCAAAAGCAGATCCATCCAACATGTTCGCTCATATTCTCATATTCACGGGCACCATCCCTCCGTGCAGATGAAGGTGTGCCGCATTTATAAAAAGTTATAAATTAAGGCCGTATGATTTCCTTGATGCAGAGGGAATCCCGGTGCCGTGAACATGGAATTTACAGTAGGCTATAACGAGGATGTCATGTAAAACACGCAATCTGTTGGATGGATAAATCAAAAGTAGATATATGTGTCTGTGAAGCACGAAGAGACCGCGATATAAATATTCTGCTTGTTTCTGCATGTATCTGAAAGGCGACGTTTTATCTACTACACACTGAAGTACGCATGACACTAATGGTGTTTTCAGCATCTACATAAACATGAACATCACCAGAGCTGCTCTGAGAGAAAACTTAAATAAACATTGCCTAGTTTTTTTTGAGAAAACACATTGTTAAATACACTCTGAAACTCAAAGGTTCGCTACAACCCGTCAAAATAAAAGTTCGATTTAACTTGAAATTATGACAGAAATATATTAGCATTGTACAATGGAATGTACTTCAAAGTTATAATAACAACAATATTCTTTATAATAATGAATTTAAACAACATTTTTCAAGGAATATCATGTTTGTCCATGTTTTAACGTCGGTGGACTTGACAATGGTGTGTATTGACATCTTTTCACGGTTGAAACAAGATACCTTCTGATGTTCATTCATGTTTATTTCGTGCTATGAATAGTAAAGATGAAGAGATGATCAGTTCATGTCCCGCTTGACTGAGGCGCTACAGCGATCTGTCACGACACGTTAAAGAGCCACAAAACAGTATTTGTTGTTTGAATTTCTTTTTAAAAAATGACAAAATTTGAACACTGAGACTAAGTTAACCAGCTCTGTCTTGTCTGTCAGCTCATCGTCAGTGTCCTCTTTGCTCCGTATTTGTATTTGATGTATTTTTCAATGCGTGAGAACATGATGTATGGCATAAAAGTGCCATGGTTTCCCAGACGTAGCAACAGTAACTAAGGGGGGCAGGTCTTTGAGAAAGGTCAATTTAGAGTAGGGGGAGGTTGCTGGCTCAGGTTCTGAGATAACAACATGAACATCTTTCTTTATAGTAGAAAATGACATCTGGAGTTTGTGCTAGAGTGCAGGGTCAGAATTAACATGCTACCTATGGTGAGCATTTATTTTAATTTGCTTGGCAGTGGAATCTGGCAGAATATATTTAAATAGTTATTAATAAATGCATAATTACCAAACTAAAATTACATGCTCTGAATTATTTTTTTTTGCATTTTTTCTCATTTTGTACAAAGATTAAACAAACCGTCTGAAATGACCCAAATTGCATAAAAATCTATTCCAAATTATACTAAAATAAGATATTTTATGTATATAAACCATCAATTGAATATAAAAGCAAGCAAACTGCCAATCTGGGACATATATCTATAATGGAATATACTCTGCAGTGGTCGCGTATATAAACCATCAATTGAATATAAAAGCACAAAAACTGCCAATCTGGGACATATATCTATAATGGAATATACTCTGCAGTGGTCGCACCACATGATATTTGGTCGCACCCATAGACTGTATAAAAACATGGATGTAGTGTCCGTGACGTCACCTGTAGGTTTGCGAAGAGGGTTTTTGAAGCTCAAAGTGGGCAGAGGCGGCCGTCGCCATCTTGGCAGCGCGTCACTCCCGGATAATCAAAAATGGGCAAAGAGGCGGGAGCTGGTTGCTGAAACCACGCCCACCTAGCTCGACGGTGGTGACAGCAGCGGCAATCCACCTGTCACTCAAGTGGCCACGCCCTTAATTATGCAGAACTTTAAGGCTTAATATAATTAAAACGGATGAGTTATAAAAAAATTCACCCCCCTCACAGTTGTCATGAAGGGCAAAATTAGCTATATAGACCAAAATAATTTTTTGAACCAGGCTGTAAACATGTTTTTTTTCTGCTGTAAAGTTGGGCATTTTAACATGGGGAGTCTATGGGATTGACTTCCTTTTGCAGCCAGCCTCTAGCGGCCAGTTGACGAATTACAGTTTAAGTCACTTCCATATTGGTTTCACGAGAGAGAGCGGGAGGTTGCCGCATTCAAATTCAGTCAAAATTTACAAGCACAGAGTTGGCCACCTAAACAAAACAAGCTAGCTTCCCACAAAATGTCACTATGAAATTTATAATGAAAATAAATACTTGCAGAAATAAGCTTGTTTTTTAGGTCATACCACATGATATCCAAATGTGGTAACATACCAGCTGTTAAAAAGGTTCTTTTTTTCCAAATTTGAAAGAGACTTATAAACCTGCTTGATGCTTCCATGGGTCTTTAGCAAATTGGTATATGATGCAAAGTCCTATCTTTTGAATGGATTTCAACATAAAAGTCCCAAAATGGTAGTTTCTTGATGGTCGCACCACATGATATTTCATAAAATGGAAATCATCTGACAAAGTTTGTTTGTATATTATGATGGAAATATAAATACAAATGCTTTGCAATTTTACACAGGATTACAAAACACTTTGGAAATCATGCCAAATAGTGCATAAAATTAATTTGAATAAATTTAGGGTAATTTCAAAGATGTTTACAAAAAAAAGTTATGGCCGGACGGTCACACCACATGATATTTTGACACTTTGAATAACAGAAAAATTACAAATAACTAATGTTTTTTGAAAAGTTCAAGTGAGTTCATACATGGGAGAGGTCCTTCATTTATATGGCATCTTTTTTATGCATTTAAATGAATTTTTAACTGAAAAAAAAAGCAATCGGACAGAAAATGTAGGCGTCATGTCATTGACCCATATATAAAATTATTTAATTTACAAGTGTCATGTTTGTGTCTTGTTGTGCAATTGTTTTTTTTTTTATTCATATGAGCTATAGCTTCTGACCTTTAAATCAAAACATACTCATGATTTTATGACATCAATTACTGCTTTATTTAATCAGAAACATAGTCTAAATGTTATTTGTGTATTTTACTTTCATTTTTTTTAAAAGTAGGCCAACAGCGCCCCCTTCGGAATTATAACTCCTTACCGAACGGGCGTTAGGACTGGGGGGAGGCTGTCATTGCTGCCACTGCACATGCTATTACTGTTTACTGTATCACACACCGAACGGTCATTCT